AATAACGAATAATGAATTACTGTATAACTTTAAGCAATAATTATGACAGTGGATAAGTATGATAGAGTATATCATTTTGCATCCCTTGGAAAGTTGCAGTAAACGACACTCATGGGCAGAATGAGTGTCGTTAAGTTATCCCTTGGAAAGTCAACTTACCGCTTTGGAGAATCCGAGATCGAATCCGGATGGTCGGAAAAACCTCAAATTTTTCATAGGTGATCCATCCCTACTATGTCGGATCTCGTCTCACTCTCATTGTAGACCTGGCCGAACCCATGATGGGTATGATTAAAAAATATCCTCTTAACGCCAAAGGAGCGAAAAGAGAGGGAAATCTCAAAAAGAAAAATACTGTATACAATAAGCAAGTAGTATAATCAATGTTACAAAAAATATTTTGTATACAATANATTACTGTATAACTTTAAGCAATAATTATGACAGTGGATAAGTATGATAGAGTATATCATTTTGTATCCCTTGGAAAGTTGCAGTAAACGACACTCATGGGCAGAATGAGTGTCGTTAAGTTATCCCTTGGAAAGTCAACTAACCGCTTTGGAGAATCCGAGATCGAATCCGGATGGTTGGAAAAACCTCAAATTTTTCATAGGTGATCCATCCCTGCTATGTCGGATCTCGTCTCACTCCCATTGTAGACCTGACCGAACCCATGATGGGTATGATTAAAAATATCCTCTTAACGCCAAAGGAACGGAAAGAGGGGGAAATCTCAAAAAGAAAAATACGCAATAAGCAAGTAGTATAATCAATGTTACAAAAAATATTTTGTATACAATAAAAAATATGTATTCTAAGAAATTGAAAATTTTCACTGTATACTTGATATCTTATAGTATATGCCTTCTTTCTATGACACATTTCATAATGCTTTTATATTATCTTAAGATAAAACCGAAATTCTATGAAATGTCGCTAGTTATAAATATTTATCGTTGTATTCACTTCAAATAAAATATTCATAAGTAATAGAATAAAAGATTTTCTAGATATAGCCTAGTAGGAACGATAAACATAACTTCTTTTCTTTCACAAAAGAAAATATTATAACGAATAAACATTTTTACTTAAAAGTATTGTTTGTCGTGTCTTAATTAATTTTAAATTTCAGATAATAAACTATGCCAATTAGCATTATTCGTCATCTTTGTTAGTTCATCTAACATGAATAAAGAATAGAGAACGACGCCCCATGAGTCAAGCTCACTCGTAGTGAGTAAAATTGAGATCGATCATGCGGTTTATATGTACTAATACCACACGAAAAAATCCACTTTAATCTTCTCTTAAGCGGCATTTTCTATTTTCCTGCTATATCAAAACGATAGTCCGCCTGAGAGAAAAATTTTGTATAAATAAAAAAGATTTTTATCGAAACCTTATAAACTATACTTTATATCTTATCATAATTTTAAAAATTTTTCTTGTCTTGTAAAAAACTTCATGAATGTTAAAATACATCATTGAAAATGTTTACTAAAATTTTTTTCACAATGCTTTATGTTTACTGTACATCTGCATAATTAATTCTACGAATTAGAATAACTAGTATATAAATAATGTTTAATAACTTTCAAAAGATGATATTTTTTTATTTAAAATTCACAGACACTCAATATATTAAACAATTACACTACATAAAGGATTACACGAGAATTTTTTTTCAAAACAAAATGGATGAAATAAACATATGCTGTTTTATAAAAGGACGTTAAAAATGAGCTTCAGCCTGCGTTTTGAATATTTTCCGTATATTAAAGAGTTTATAGCCTATAGAATCTCATAAAGGTTTAATAAATAAAAATTAGCTTGTAATTCAAATTAACATTTGTGTAAATATGTGGAATTAATTAACCATCATTTCATGTTCGCCATTGTTTATTTTCGTTACTTTGCAATGTAAATACTGTACTTTTATTTATTTTAATCTAAATAATTAAATAAGAAAATATTAAGAAAATATATTAATTAATTAATACATTTATTTCATGTATATAAATTCTTCTTTATTATTTTGATTTCATTTAATTAAGTAAATTTTTAAAATTAGATTTTGAAAAAAGTTTTAAAAATTTATTTACTTTAGAAGTTATAAACTTAATTAACATGAAAAAATATTTTTTTAATGTTTCCAATTATAGATTTTTAATTAAAATACCTTATTATTATTTAATTTTTATTCAATTTATTTATCGAGCTTCTTTAATATAACGATTTTATTTTTCACCGATTAATTATCAAATTATTTTAAATTATATTATGAACTTATTAGTTTTTATTTAATATAATGAAATTTAATTACCAATACTAAATATTTAAAAATAAACATTTATTAACTTGTTTTTAGTTATTGCTTAATAAGATATGGTGGCATGTTTAATTCTTTTATAAAAATATACAAATTGAAAGATATCATAATACAGTAATATCGAGAAATTTCAATATATCTCAATTATAAATTGATTAAATTATATAATTTATTATAAAATTAAAATTTTAAAGAACTTATTTAGCAAATAATTATTCTTTTTTTATATCAAAAAACTTATTAAAATAATGGGAAAAAATATGGACTGTTATCATTTTCTTTTTTTTTCCTTATCTTACTATGGTAATCAAATTAAGTGTTCTACAGTTAAATTTAATTAAATAAAAATAATATTTCAAGAATTAAACATTTGAATTCAAATTTTCTTTCTTGATCAAATATATAAAGAGTTTTTAAATAAACAAACAGTCATTTGGTATTATTTTTTCTGAAATGCTGCTTCCTTAAACTTATTTATCTATCTTTATGTGTATAAAATATCCATTTGAAATATTTAATTTGTATAAATTTACTTTTTAAAAAATTCTTTAAATATGCAGATTTTTTCTTACAGTTGTATTTCAAGTGTAAATTGAATTATAATTAAATGGAATAGATAATTTTAAATAAAGTAATATCTTACATATAACCTAGATAGAGCTTACTTAAAATCATTATAAATTGTACAAAGTGGCATTTATTACAATATAAGAAAATAAACTTTTTGTTATTCTTTCTTGAAATTAAAGGTTACATGAACTTCAAAGTAACGTAATCAATAAGCTAGTAGACTTTTTAAATTTATTTCCTAAATAAATAAACATATGCGCAGTTGTTTAAAAGCTATCTTTATCTTATTTCCTCTCAAAAAAATAATGAAATCAAACTTATATAGTTGAATTCAAAGAAAAGAATTAAAACTTTAGCAAACTCTTACTCTAATGAAAAATTAGAGAAATTTTGTTCAAATCAAATTAATTTTCATGTAATGTATACCTCTATTTGATATAAATGACATAAAAAGGACTCCAAAATGTTCGA